AAATAATGAAGTTAACATTTTCATGTTACCATATAAGCTGCTCTGAGAGTTGTCGACGTTGTTTTTATACATTCACTAATGAAAAATGAGATCATTCGACGATTCGTTCCAAATTTTGCCAACGTAGCTAATAGCCTCCATGAAGTCACGGAAAACAGAGAATTTGAGTGGAATAAATGCTCTTCAATCTCCGGATCAGCGTTTATTTTAGATAGGTAGGAGGAGGTGTTATCATAAGTCATTGATGGGTGTGGGATAGTAGTTCGTATTATAGCCGGAAATGAGAAAGCCAGAAAGAAATTATGTATAGGAACCAAAGGAGAGTTGGCACGGTGGATTGGGAGACTCCAATATGATTGGTATCACTAAACCCGGAGATATTAAAACAAGTATTAATTGTTGGTTGTTGTCAATCGCTACGGATAGATTGCAACTGTGCCGAGTGTATTGCTGCTAAAGGCCGAGGTCCAGGAGTCATGGTCAAATGAAGCGGTAAGTTCGGTGCGCCTTGAGGATTGGCCGGATGTAGCTGGTAGCCTATCGGTAATTAGGAACATATGTTTGGTAGTCATGGATTATTTCGTTAATGGCAGAGGATATGCATCCTAACCAAGAAGCAGAACAGTAGGGATGTATTCATCAAATTGTATCGAGATATGGTGTTCAAATGAATTACATCTGACCAATGGAAAACTTAAATCAGCTCTTAATCCATGGATGTCCGTAAATCCGTACAATTGCACCTAAATTCGCAGTCCGATGGCATGGTAGAACGATTCAATCGAACTTTGAAGAAATATGCGGAAAGTTATGGATAGTACCAAAAGATTGGGATACCCATATATCCTTGTTCCTGATGGCTTATCGGTCTGCTGTACATGAAACAACGCGGCAGACTCAGCAGGTTAATTTTGGTAATAATCTTCGACTACGATTGATTTAAAATTTTTAATTAACGATAAAATGAAGCAAAATACGACAAAGGCAATAAACTGAGGTTTTGTTGACGAGTTTTGGTATTGTATATAACCCGCAACAAAAGGAAGGGGTGTTCCCAAATATAAGTGTAGTTGACAAGGATCATACCAGGTTATTAAACGATCAACGGTGTAGATTATCGTAAATAAGAGCTACCGATTGTGAAGCAAACACAGTTCTATTAGAGTGCTGCTTATTAAAGACTAAAGCAATAAGTTGTAAACTCGAATAACGAGTAATAAGCGTTAGGTTGTTTAATTAGAAAAAAGATAAGTGTATAGTCATTAAATTGGACTTTTATTTAACATTATGTGATCGAACTCAAGAGTGAGTTATTCGTTCAATACCTTCAGATCGCGATGCCAAAAAATCGTAATTGTGCCTAAATTTTCGATGGGTGGACCCGAAAACGAACCTGTCGCCCTTCACGGGCAGCAGCCATTGTCATCTGTCATTCTATTGTATTAAGAATGGAAATATTTTTGTGGGGCATTTAATGTCATTAATAATCATTATCGAAATGGCATCGCGTAGGTATTTTGATCTTATGTAGCGAAAGTTTGAGCTCCTGAACGATTTAGAAATTTAATGAGGATGATGAAATGAAAGCACTTTTTCACTTACCCAGTCAATAACTTAATATTGTACATATTTTGTGTAGTCAATAACTATTCGCCATCTTTAGCTAACATTTATGTTTATTCATATACAAAATACAAAACAGAACTGTCAACCACCAAAATAACTGCTCATGTAGCAATGGATGGAAAGATATATATTTAGGCATATATTGTAAACATTATTATAGCCAATCGGCGGCAGACGAGAAGATCTAAAAATTAAAATACACACGTTCTTATGGGCACAGTTATTAGAGCAGTTGTCACTGTCGCCAAATTAAACTATTCTATTTGCCTACGACAATGAGCAGCTAGGATGCACTAATATTGAAATGTAAATTATCAGGCAAATTTAACGTTATCTTACAAAGCATTAAATAGCTCTGACATATATTGTATTCAAATTTTACAACATTCACTTTACAAAGATGAATAATAATACCTACTCTAACTATTCAACTGCTTCAGCTTTACAAATCTCATTCATCTTATGTTTAAGTAACAATTCATCCTGCAATTCTAATACAATTTAAATTTTTTAATTGACTCAATGCATCTTGCATCGTAATGCAAGCATCACCGCATACGTAACCGAATCAGCTGATAGACCTATCTTATGGCAGCAATGTAAATAAACGTCCACCGCTCTTCGTCCCTTCAACAATCTCGATTATTTGTAGTAATTAAAAAGAACTTATTCGAAATATTCTTAAAATAGCTCAAAATCACAGTCGGATCGCTTATTAATAAAAAGGTAAACTCTTTTAATGGTTGGTTTTGTTTTGAGCTTTACATTATGAAAATATATAACAAAAATAGATGTGTAGAAAATCGTGTATACAAATGAAACAATGGCAATATTGGTGAAATTGAAACAGAGGAGAACTGATTCTGCGTTGTCTACGGGCATAACTTTGACAAATTTGTTTAATACGTCGGTAGACGGTATAGAGGAATGTCGGTGACTGTTGTGCTATAACGCTATGGCGCCTGTCATACGTTCAATATTGAATTGATATTTGATCGTGATTTATTTTGTAATTGATAGATAAGAGTGAATACTACACGTACAACAATATCATAGTCCCGTATTGCGCGGTATATTGCGACGAAAATGGATGATAGAAAAATCACGACGATAAATTGCCAGAAGCAACTAGACAGCGAGTTCGTAGTTGCCAGATGTCTAGAGCAAAGTTTTGTTAAAATTTACTCTATAAGGGCTACCGATTGGCAGCAACATAGTTCTAATGAGAGTTGTTCGCTGTTAAGAGCAATTAATTTTATGCAAAGTTTAACTCGAATACGAGCAATAAGTGTTAGTTGTTGGAATTGAAATATAGATATGTGTATAGTATTAATGGGACTTGAATATAACAATTCAGTGTCCGAACTCAAGAGTGAGTTACAAGGTAGGCTACTTATCGAAAATCCGTTACAATTATTAACGTAAGGCAGTCCTTCTTGATACTGTTCCAAGGAGCTGCAAACTATCTTGATAGTCTTCAGTGTTGATCACAACGATTCTTGTTAAAAATGGATTTTATTGACAGCCGTGTGTATGCTGCAACAACATGATAATCATAATAGTTTCAAGATGCCGTTGTTTGGAATGCTCAAAAATTTTGACGAAGTTCTAATGTATGTTGATATACTTATATTTTTGATATAAATCATGAATAAACAAATTAATATTCCGACAACAGCATGTATTTGTTTGCAAAACTATGTTGATCAGCTGTTCAAACTTGATCGTAGCTTCATCGACTTATGAGGAAATTTATATCAAGACGCTTTCAGTTCGAAGTGAGGTGGTAATAGAAATGTGAGTGTATTAAATTAAAAGAAATTTTTGATCGTAACGTTCGGGTTAGCTAGTTAAATAGAACCTTGGCTTTTCATACCCTCACTTTTATATAAGAATCTTGAATGTATTTACTTACCAAAACATGAACAATAAGAAAAAAAAAAGTCGCGTGAAGACGTACAGTGATAATGTGAAGAGTATACAAATTTAAATATATAGATTTATTTCTCCAATTTTTTACACATTATCTTCATGTCAGGTATAGGTTATAGCGTTATTATGGCTCTATGGTAACTGAAAATATGAAACAGTCTAAATAGTGTAGATTTCTAAGAATGAGCATCAATCGTTGTTTTGATTTAGTCGTGGCAATTTTCCGGTCACTATTCATACTAAACGTATTGATCGTCACCCCGCCAAGAATATCAGCACCATGAATTACAACCAACAAACTCTGTATGATACATGATATCTCAACTTTTTGGTTAGGAGATACGTAATCGCTGCGATGACCATTCTTTTCCATTTAATATTTTACATTAAAATATCGGGTATCGCTAATATCAGTCAACTCACTGTACGTGCCGTGAAATTTGTGCACTTGTATGAAAATGTGGAGTATCGCATTCATTTATAAACCGCCTCTTTGACTGATTGTTGCAATCACGTTCTGCAAATATTTCCGTCATGCTATATCTCGACTTCTCTGTTCAGGTGTTTTGCTGTGCTTTGATTGGATGATTAATTATGCACAATAAGATATCTCATATCTAGCCAAGTATGAAGATGAGCTACAGTTATAATTTGATATCGTATTTAGCCTTATTTCACATTCTATATTTCCCGACAACGGTCCGGTGGTGTTATTGGTATATTGGTTTTGTTTATTGCTGCATTATCACTAATAATCATAAATTGTTCGTGTACTGTATTTTCAACGAGAGTTTAGGCAATAGACTCTTTGGTTGGATGTCAGTTGAACAATAATTAATGAACTATATAAAATATATAAAGAATAAAAATCTGAATACTTGAGTATGAAAATATTCACGAAACTAAAACCGACTATTACCCTGAAATATTTTTATTTTGCGATTACATTCATAATACACATTGCGTAGATGCAATCTTTTTCGTGCTCTGTATTCGATTACGCTCGCTCCAAATTTAGCCGTTTTCTAAACACGCATATTTTCCCGATCTTGTTGTTTAGACAACAATTAAATTACTCTGGTATAATAATTTAATGAATACTTTGTATATTTGTTTTTTAGATTTTTGAAAGTAAACCCTTACTCAACACAAAATATTACAACTCGAATTCCATTTACAATCTCTTACAATATGCACAACAGATCTCGCTTCTTTAAAAGTATGTACATACGTTTCAATGACAAAAATGATAGAATAAAAGATTACGAAAATTGTTGATTGCGAAGGTTATATTTACATAAGTATAAACATTATGATTTTGAAAATCAAGACGACTGAACATTTTGAATACGGCAGTGACATATCAAGCAGCTGATGTACACATTGGTGTAGCCGTACTAAACCTTCACCTCATTGAAATTTAAATATTTTGTTAGAGTGAATTTTTGTACAAAAAGTAATAGTTTTATTTATTTGTTTTAAATTATAAATTTATATATAAGTGCTATTTTATGTTTCTGTTGGTAAAATAACGTTAGACTTGTTAGAGCTTAAATTAATTTACATTTCACATATTAGTGTTAACACTACAGTTGTCCATTGTCGTCGGCAAAATTAGGAATGGCTTTAATTTAGTGACAGGGACTACTGCAAGACTGCTGCCGTGAAGTCATGTTGTTGTTTAAATAACTGTGCCCAAAAGAACGTGTGTATTGTAATATTTGACAGAAGCAGCCTGTCGCCTGTCATCGTCTATGGGTTCAGCGTTTGAGATCCGAACGAATCCGAAGTGATGTATGTATGTGTCAATGTGCAGCTAGAAGATAGCGAAATGAACCGATCAACATATGGATTGCTACAATTTCTTTATGGCTACCCAAACAGAGACGTAGCTGCTTACAGAACCAGTAAAAAGGTCGTAAACGGCCTTCAAAAATTGCTCTAATGCGGCCAAAGAAGTATTCACTTAAAAATAATGAAGTTTACATTTTTCATGTCTACCATATACTGCTCTGAGAGTTGTCGACGCTTTTTTACATTCACTAATGAAAAATGAGATTCATTCGACGATTCGTTCCAAATTTTGCCAACTAGCTAATAGCCTGGATCAGCGTTTATTTTGGATACGGATGTAGTGGGTATGAAGTAGGAGGGTGTTATCATAAGTCATTGTGGTGTGGATAGTAGTTATATTTATAGCCGGAAAATGAGAAACCGGAAAGAAATTATTGAGTAACTCAGGAACCCAGAAGGAAGTTGGCACGGTGAATTGGGAGACTCCAAGTTATTACTTGGTATCACTAAACCCTTGGAGTATAAAAAAGGTATTAATTGGGTTGGTTGTTGTCAATCAGCTACGGTAGATCGCCAACTGTGCCGAGTGTATTGCTGCTAAAGGCCGAGGTCCAAAGTCAGGTCAAATGAGCGGTACAGTTGGATGCGCCCTTGAGGAATTGGCAGGATGGCTGGTAGCTATCGTAAATTAGACACAAAATATGTTTTGGTAGTCATGATTATTTGTAAATGGCCGAGGTATATGCAATCCTAACCAGAAGCAGAAACAGTAGCGGATGTATTCATCAAAATTTGGTCGGATATTGGATGTTCAAATTGAATTACATTCTGGACAATGGAATTTTAAATCAGTCTATTCAATGGATGTCCGGTAAATCCGTACAATTGCACTAATTGCAGTCCGATGCATGGTAGAACGATTCAATCGAACTTTGAAGAATATATGCGAAAGTTTGGATAATACCAAAAGATTGGATACCCATTATATCCTTGTTCCTGATGCTTATCGGTCTGCTGTACATGAAACAACGGGCAGACTCAGCAAGGTTAATTTTGTAATAATCTTCGATACCGATTGATTTAAAATTTTAAATTAACGATAAATGAAGCAAATACGACAAAGGCAAATAACTGTAAGGGTTTTGTTGAACGAGTTTTGGTATTGTATATAACCGCAACAAAAGGAAGGTGTCTCCCAATTATAGTGTAGTTGACAAGGATCATACCAGTTATTACGACTCAACGGTGTAGATTATCGTAATAAGAGTACAGATTGTGAAGCAAACACAGTTCTAATTAGAGTGCTGCTTATTAAAGAACTATAATAATAGTTGTAAACTTGAATAACGAGTAATAAGCGTTAGGTTGTTTAAATTAGAAAAAAAAAAGATAAGTGTATAGTAATTAAATTGGGACTTTTATTTAACAATTATGTATCGAACTCAAGAGTGAGTTATTCGTACAATACCTTCAGATCGCGATGCCAAAGAAATCGTAATTGTGCCTAAATTTTCGATAGGGTGGGCCAGTAAACGAACCTATCGCCCTTCACGGGCAGCAGCCTTGTCATCTGTCGATCTATTGTTATTAGAATGGAAATTTTGTGCGGGCATTTAATGTCATGTAATAATCATTATCGAAATGGCATCGCGTAGGTATGTTTGATTGATGTAGCAAGTTTGAGCTCTCTGAACGATTTGAAATTTAATGAGGATGATGAATCGTAGAAAGCACTTTTCACTTACCAGTCAATACTTAATATGTGTATACATATTTGTGTGTGTCAATAACTATTCGCCATCTTTAGCTAACATTTATGTTTATTCATATACAAAATACAAACAGAACTGTCATACCACCAAAATAACTGCTCATTGAAGCAATGGATGGAAGATATATATTTGGCATTATTGCTAAACATAATATGAGACACATACGCTGCGGCGACAGACAAAATCTGTAAATATTAAAATACACACGTTCTTATGGGCACTGTTATTTAGTGCAGTTGTCACTGTCGCCAAATTAAACTATTTCTAATTTGCCTACGACAATGAGCAGCTGTAGGGTTGCCATTATATTGTGAAATGTAAAATTATTCAGGCTCTAACAAGTTCAACGTTATCTTACACAGAAAGCATAAAATAGCTTGACATATCATTTGTACTTACAATTTTTGCACAAGATTTCACTTTGCACAATTTTTTGTTTATTGAGTAAGATAATATGGGCTACCGTCTACAAATATTCATGAAGCTGGTTCAAGCGTTTTGCAGCAAGAAAATTGCCTGTCGCTAGTCTTTAGTCGTCTATGTGTTTTAAGGCTTAAACAATGTCAGTCTCCTTCGGCAATATTTAGAATACAGTTTAGAATTTTATGCTGTCGAGATCTCGGCATCGTCCGCATCGTAATGCAAAGCATCACCGACGCAACCGTAGACCGAATCAGCTGATACGACCTATCTTATGTGCCTTATGCATGTAAAAACAGTACCACCGCTTCTTCCGTCCCTTCAACAATCTCGATTATTTGTAGTAATAATAAAAAGAACTTATTCGAAATATTCTTAAAATAGCTCAAACCACCGTCGGATGCGCTTATTTATAAAAAGGTAAACTCTTCTTAATGGTTGGTTTTTAGTTTTGAGCTTTTACATTATGAAAAATTATAACTAACAAACTAGATGTGTGAAAAATCGTGTATACAAATAGAACAATGGCAACATTTGATGAAAGAAGAACTGATTTCTGCGTTTCTTTACGGGCATAATTTTGACAAATTTGGTTTAATACGGCGGTAAGTACGTAGGGAGGAATGTCGGTGACTGTTGTGCTATACGCTATGGCGCCTGTTCATACGTTCAATATTAATTGTGATATTTGGATCGTGATTCATTTTGGTAATTGATGGATAACGAGTGAATACTACACGTACAACAAATATCATAGTCCCGTATTGCGCGTATATTGCGACGAAAATGATGATAGAACAAAATCGAACGAGATAAATTGCCAACAACTAGACAGCGAGTTCGTAGTTGCCAGAATGTTCTAGAGGCAAGTTTTGTTAAAATTTACATATAAGGGCTACCGGATTGTGACACAACATAGTTCTAATGAGAGTGTTGCCGTGTTAAGAGCAATTAATTTATAGCCAAAGTTTGACTCGAATAACGAGCAATAGTGTTAAGTTGTTGGAATTAGAAATATAGATATGTGCATAATTAAAAAGGGACTTGAATATAACAATTCAGTGATCAACTCAAGTGAGTTACAAGTAGGCTACTTATCGAAAAATCCGTTACAATTTATTAACGTAAGGCAGTCCCTTATCGATACTGTTCCAATGGAGCTGCAAAACTATCTATAGACGGATAATTCGATAATTTTGTTAGTTTGGGCCTTGAATCTACTTACTAGCTTTCAAGTTGATCACACAACTACTTGTAAAAATGGATTTATATTGACAGCCGTGACGTATGCTGCAAACAACATGATAATCAATAATAGTTTCAAGATGCCGTTGTTATGGAAATAGCTCAAAATTCTTCAAAATTTTAACGAAGCTTCTAATGTAATGGATTGATATACTTATATTTTGATATAAATCCATGAATATAACGAAATATTAATATTCCCGACAACAGCATGTCATTTGTTTGCAAAACTATGTGATCAGCTGTTTAAACTTGATCGTCAGCTTGCCACTCGACTTAAATGAGCAAATTGATATCAAGAAGGCTTTCAAGTTCGAAGAGTGAGTGTGTGGTAATAGAAAAGTGTGAGTGTATTACAACTTAAAAGAAATTTCTTGATCGCGTAACGTTCGGGTTAAGCTAGTTGAAATTAAGAAACCTTGGCTTCATACCCCTCACTTTTATATAAGAATCATTGAATGTATTTCTAAACCAAAACATGAACAATAACGCAAAAAAAAAGTCGCGTGAAGCACAGTACACGTGATAGATGTGAAGAATATACAAATTTAATATATAATTTATTTCTCCAATTTTCACATTATCTTCAGTCAGGTATAGGTATAGCGTATATTATGGCTCTATGGTAACTGAAATATGAAACAGTCTAAATAGTGTAGATTTCTGAAGAATAGAGCATCAATCGTTGTTTTTGATTTAGTCGTGGTAATTTTCCGGTCACTATTCATATCTAAACCGATATGTGATCGTCACCCCCGCCAAGAATATCAGCACCGCCATGAATGTACATAACCAACAAACTCTGTATGGAATACATGATATCCTCAACATTTTTTGGTTAGGAGATACGTAGATCGCTGAGATGACCATTTCTTTTCCATTTAATATTTTACATTAAAAAATCGGGTATCGCTAATATCAGTCAAACTCACTGTACGTGCCGTGAAATTTGTTGCACTTGTATGAAAATGTGGAGTATCGCATTCATTATAAACCGCCTGCTTTGGACTGATTGTTGCAATCACGTTCTGCAAATATTTCCGTCATGCTATATACTCTCGACTTCTCTGTTCAGGTGTTTTTGCTGTGCTTTCTGGATTGGATGATTAATTATGCACAATAATATCTCAATATCTAGCCAAGTATGAAGATGAAGCTTCAGTTATAATTTGATATCGCATTTTAGCCTTATTTCACATTCTATATTCCCGACAACGGTCGGCTGGTGTTATTGGTATTTGGTTTTGTATTGCTGCATTATCACTATAATCAATAAATTGTTCGTGTACTGTATTTTCAACGAGATGTTAGCAACTACGACTCTGGTGATGGATGTCAGCTTGAACATAATTAATGAACTATATAAAAATATAAAAAGATAAAAAAATCTGAATACTTGAGTATGAAAATATACGAAACTAAAACCGACTATTACCCTTGAAATATTTTATTTCGATTACATTCATAATACATACATTGCGTAGGATGCAATCCTTTTTCGTGCTCTGTATTCTCGACGCTCCGCTCAAATTAGCCGTTTTCTAAACACGCTATTTTCCCGATCTTGTAGTTTAGACAACAATTAAATTACTCTGCGTATATAATTTAATGGAATACTTTCGTAATTATTTGTTTTCAGATTTTATAAGTAAACTCTTACTCAACACAAATATTAAATCGAATTCCATTTACACTCTTACCGAAATATGCACAACAGAGCTCGCGGTCAGCTGTATGTACTTATGTGCTGCAGCCTCTTTAAAAGTATGTACATACGTTCAATGACAAAAATGATAGAATACAAGATTACGAAAAAATTGTGATTGCGAAGGTTATATTTACATAAGTATAAAACATATTGATTTTGAAAAATCAAGACGACTGAATTTTTGAATACGGCAGTGACATATCAAGCAGCTGATGTACACAACTTCGGTGTAGCCGTACTAAAACCTTTCACCTCATTGAAATTTAAATATTTTGTTAGAAGTGGAATGTTTTGTACAAAAAAGAGGAATCGTTTTATTTATTTGTTTTAAATTATAAATTTATATATAAGTGCTATTTTATGTTTCTGTTGGTAAAATAACGTTAGACTTGTTAGAGCTTAAAATTAATTTACATTTCACATATTAGTGTTAACACTACAGTTGTCCATTGTCGTCGGCAAAATTAGGAATGGCTTTAATTTAGTGACAGGGACTACTGCAAGACTGCTGCCGTGAAGTCATGTTGTTGTTTAAATAACTGTGCCCAAAAGAACGTGTGTATTGTTATTATTGACAGAAGCAGCCTGTCGCCTGTCATCGTCTATGGGTTCAGCGTTTGAGATCCGAAGTAATGTATGTATGTGTCAATGTGCAGCTAGAAGATAGCGAAATGAACCGATCAAACATATGGATTGCTACAATTTCTTTATGGCTACCCAAACAGAGACGTAGCTGCTTACAGCAACCAGTAAAAAGGGTCGTAACACGGCCTTGAAAAATATGCTCTAATGCGGCCAAAGAAGTATTCACTTAAAATAATGAAGTTAACATTTTCATGTTACCATATAACTGCTCTGAGAGTTGTCGACGTTTTTAATACATTCACTAATGAAAAATGAGATCATTCGACGATTCGTTCCAAATTTTGCCAACGTAGCTAATAGCCTCAATGAAGTCACGGAAAATAACAGAGATTTTGAGTGGAATAAATGCTCTTCAATCTCCGGATCAGCGTTTATTTTGGATGATAGTGGGTATGAAGTAGGAGGGGTGTTATCACAAGTCATTGATGGGTGGGATAGTTGTTGCGTATTATAGCCGAAAATGAGAAAGCCAGAAAGAAATTATTGAGTAACCCAGAAGAGAGTTGACACGGTGGATTGGGAGACTCAAAATTATGACTTGGTATCACTAAACCCGGAGATATTAAACAAGGTATTAATTGGGTTGTTGTTGTCAACAGCTACGGAATAGATCGCCAACTGTGCCGAGTGTATTGCTGCTAAAGGGCCGAGGTCCAGGGAGTCATGGTCAAATGAAGCGGTACAGTTCGGGTGCGGCCTTTGAGCGAATTGGCACGGATGTAGCTGGTAGCCTATCGGTAAATTAGGAAACAAATATGTTTTGGTAGTCATGGATTATTTCAGTACATGGCCAGAGGTATATGCAATTCCTAACCAAGAAGCAGAAACAGTAGCGGATGTATTCATCAAAATTTGGGTATCGAGATATGGTGTTCAAATTGAATTACATTCTGACCAATGGAAAACTTTTAAATCAGCTCTAATCCATGGATGTCCGGTAAATCCGTACAATTGCACTAAATTCGCAGTCCGATGGCATGGTAGAACGATTCCAATCGACTTGGAAGAATATATGCGAAAGTTATGGATAAGTATCAAAAGATTGGGATACCCATATATCCTTGTTCCTGATGGCTTATCGGTCTGCTGTACATGAAACAACGGGCAGACTCCAGCAAGGTTAATTTTGGTAATAATCTTCGACTACCGATTGATTTAAAATTTAAATTAACGATAAATGAAAGCAAAATACGCAAAGGCAATAAACTGTAAGGGTTTTGTTGAACGAGTTTTGGTATTGTATATAACCCGCAACAAAAGGAAGGGGTGTCTCCCAAATTACCGTGTAGTTGACAAGGATCATACCCGGTTATTAAACGACTCAACGGTGTAGATTATCGTAAATAAGAGCTACCGGATTGTGAAGCAAACACAGTTCTAATTAGAGTGCTGCTTATTAAAGAACTATAAGCAATAAGTTGTAAACTCGAATAACGAGTAATAAGCGTTAGGTTGTTTAAATTAGAAAAAAAAGATAAGTGTATAGTCATTAAATTGAGACTTTTATTTAACAATTATGTGATCGAACTCAAGAGTGAGTTTTTCGTTGCAATACGTTCAGATCGCGATGCCAAAGAAATCGTAATTGTGCCTAAATTTTCGATAGGGTGGAGCCCAGAAAACGAACCTCTCGCCCTTCACGGGCAGCAGCCATTGTCATCTGTCGATTCTATTGTCATTAAGAATGGAAATATTTTTGTGCGGGCATTTAATGTCATGTAATAATCATTATCGAAATGGCATCGCGTAGGTATTATTGATCTGATGTAGCGAAAGTTTGAGCTCCTGAATGATTTAGAAATTTAATGAGGATGATGAAAACGTAGAAAGCACTTTTTCACTTACCCAGTCAATAACTTAATATGTGTATACATATTTGTGTGTAGTCAATAACTATTCGCCATCTTTAGCTAACATTTATGTTTTATTCATATACAAAATACAAAACAGAACTGTCATACCACCAAAATAACTGCTCATTGTAAGCAATGGATGGAAAGATATATATTTAGGCATATATTGCTAAACATTAATTTATGAGACACAATACGGCGGCAGACGACAGGACAAAATCTGTAAAATATTAAAATACACACGTTCTTATGGGCACAGTTATTTAGAGCAGTTGTCACTGTCGCCAAATTAAAACTATTTCTAATTTGCCTCCGACAATGAGCAGCTGTAGGGTTGCCACTAATATGTGAAATGTAAAATTACTCAAGGCTCTAACAAGTTTAACGTTATCTCACCAACAGAAGCATAAAATAGCTCTGACATATCATTTGTACTTACAAATTTTTTGCACAAGCAATTTCACTTTGCATAACCGTAGACCGAATCAGCTGATACGACCTATCTTATGAGAGCGCAATGTAAATAAACAGTCACCACCGCTTCTTCCGTCCTCTTCAACAATCTCGATTATTGGTAGTAATTAAAAAAAGAACTTATTCGAAATATTCTTAAAATAGCTCAAAACCACAGTCGGATGTGCTTATTTATAAAAAGGTAAACTCTTCTTAATGGTTGGTTTTTAGTTTTGAGCTTTTACATTATGAAAAATTATAACTAACAAACTAGATGTGTGAAAAAGCGTGTATACAAATAGAACAATGGCAACATTTGTGAAATGGAAACTGATTTCTGCGTTTCTTTTACGGGCATAAGTTTTGACAAATTTGGTTTAATACGGTCGGTAAGTACGGTAGGGAGGAATGTCGGTGACTGTTTGTGCTGTATCGCAATGGCGCCTGTCATACGTTCAATATTAATTGTGATATTTGGATCGTGATTCATTTTGGTAATTGATGGATAACGAGTGAATACTACACGTACAACAAATATCATACTCCCGTATTGCGCGGTATATTGCGACGAAAATGGATGATAGAAAAAAATCGAACTGACGATAAATTGCCAGAAGTAACTAGACAGCGAGTTCGTAGTTGCCAGAATGTTCTAGAGGTAAAGGTTTGTTAAAAATTTACTAAATAAGGGCTACCGGATTGTGCAGCAAACATAGTTCTAATGAGAGTGTTGCCGTGTAAAGAGCAATTAATTTATAGCTTAAAGTTGTAAGCTCGAATAACGAGCAATAAGTGTTAAGATGTTGGAATTAGAAATATAGATATAGCATTAAATTGGGACTTTAAAATAACAATTCAGTGGTCCAACTCAAGAGTGAGTTACAAGGTAGGCTACTTATCGAGAAATTCGTTACAATTTATTAACGTTAAGCAGTCCCTTATCGATACTGTTTCATGAGAGCTCCAAAACTATCGATAGTCGCATAATTCGATAATTTCGAAAGTTTGATCCTTGAAGTCTACTTACTAGCTTTCAAGTTGATCACACCAACTACTTGTAAAAATAGATTTAAATTGGCAGCCGTGACGTTGCTGCAAGCATAATGATAAACAATAATAATTTAAAGATGCCGTTGTTATGGAAACAACTCAAAATTTTTAAAACTTTTGCACGAAGTTTCTAATGTAATGGATTGATATACTTATATTTTGATATCAATCCATAGATATATCAAAAAATTAATATTCCCGACAAAAGCAAGTCATTTGTTTGCAAAACTATGTCATCAGCTGCTCAAACTTGATCGTCAACTTATCACTCAATTTAAATGAAGAAATTGATATCAAGATGGCTTTCAAGTTCGAAAAGTGAGAGTGTGGTAATGAAAAAGTGTGAGTGTATTGCAACTTTATAGAAAATTTCTAGACCGCGTAACGTTCGGGTTACGCTAGTTTAAATAAACACACCTTGGCTTTATACCCCTCACTTTTATTTAAGAATCTTTGAATTAAATTATAAACCAAAGGATGAACAATAACGGAAAACAAAAAAACAGTCACGTAAAGCATAATACACATAGATAAAATGATCCGAAACTCCTCTCTTTGCCTTCTGAGAGAGCTCATGAACTTTCAGTGCTGCCAAAGTAAACCACGAGTTCATGAGCTACTGAACAGATGACAACCAAAACATTGAACTACCACTAAGAATCCCGCAGAATTAAAATGCAAAATCAGTGGGAAATTTGTGAAATCAGATTTTTTGGTGACTTTTACATATATATCTTATCTTTATTCAAAGAGTTTTGTTTTTAAGAAAGAGCAGGTATTTTGTCGCAGAGTATTGTTTTGCTTAGCAGTACCAATTGTCAACGTTATACATATTTTGGTTAGAATTCCCAGCAAATGATATTTGTTTATTCAGTATATAAAAACTAATTAATGTAAATGTCAAGCTTATTTAAAACTTGTAAGTGTTTTGAAATTTTAAAATATTTTGTTAAATTTAGTTTTAAAAGTTAATTTTAAAAATATTTTGTGATTAAAATATACACGTTCATATATTTAGACGTCATTTAGGATATTTAGCTCGTTAAACTTATTTTAATTATGTAAATTTTTTTGTAAAATGGAAACCGAATATATAATAATATACCCAAGAAATATAATAAAAAATCTCTAAACATATTTCTTTACATGATGGCACCACTAACAAATGTTATAAAAAATGTAGATTTTGACAGCGCTCTCTCGAATCAAAGAGTTTCGGATCATTTTATCCATGACAGTACACGTGATAGAAGTGCGTACTTCTTTACTGATTAATTGAGAGTGGGGAAAGAAAGAGTACTTCACTGTATGTGCCGTGAAATTTGTTGCAATTGTATGAATATGTGGAGTATCGCATTCATTATAAATAATATAATATATCGCGAAACTCTGTTCAGGTGTTTTTGCTGTGCTTTCTGGATTGGATGATTAATTTTGCACAATAAGATATCTCAATATCTAGCCAAGTATGAAGATGAAGCTTCAGTAACGATTTGATATTGTATGGCTTTCTTTCGCATTCTATATTACCGACAACGCTCGGCTGGTGTTATTGATATTTTCGTTTGTGTTTTATTACTGCATTATCACTACAATCAATAAATTGTTCGTGTACTGTGTTTTCAACGAGATGTTGTGAGGGCAAATAGGACTCTTGATGATGGATGTCAGCGTGTACAATAATTAATGAAATAAATATCTTGAGTATGAAAATATTCACGAAACTGAAAACTACTATTGCCCCTTGAAATATTTTTATTTGCAATTACATTAAAATACAAACATTGGCGTTATT